ATGTTCCCACCCTCCTCGTCAGCTACAAGCCTCAAACCATCAGCCCCAAGTTTAAGGTTTGTTTCATCAGCAGCTAAAATCATTAAAACTATAACGTCAGTGAGAGTAATGAATATATCGACTCGATGTATTCAAGATACTCGATGTATTCAATAATGTATTTAATATACTCGATGTATTTAATATACTCGATGTATTGCGGCTCACACCACGTGTCTACATCGCGACCATCGAGTAAACATTTTCACATGAAAGAGAGAAAGAAAGTGAAGAGTCACAGCGAGTTGACGAGAGTTCAGAGACGGTTTGTTCTTTGTAAACATTGAACTGAAAGAATAAGTTTACAAATGATGAACGTGAGCTTTCCCCAGTGAACTACAGGAAAACAGAGAACTGGTCAGAGACGTTAGTGACCCACTAACTAACGTCTCCTTTCTCTCTTTTGTACTGACCAACATGTCGACCAGCAGCCGGAGGCATTAATATTATTTTAGTTTTCTTTAATCAACTTCTACATGTTGCTTTTATTTTTGTTAGTTTCTTTAAGTTTATTCTGTGTGTGTGTGTGTGTGTGTGTGTGTGTGTGTGTGTGTGTGTGTGTGTGTGTAGGGCAGCGTCCGTGCTCTGCTGCACGAGAAGATCAGAGACGCTTACACTCACCCTCAGTTCATCACAGACGTCATGAAGCCGCTGCAGATCGAGAGCATCATCGATCAGGACGTGAGAAAATGTTTCACTGTCAGAGGTCAAAGGTCACAGTGACCTCATGACTCACTTCTGAAGCTCAGATGTTTCAGATTATAAATCATTAATTCTTGTTTATAAACAAATGATTATTTCTGATTGACTGACTGGACCTGAACCCCCCCCTCCCCTCCCCCTCCCCTCCCCCCTCAGGTGCAGAACCTGTCTGGTGGCGAGCTGCAGCGAGTCGCTCTCACTCTGTGTTTGGGGAAACCTGCTGATGTTTATCTGATTGACGAGCCGTCGGCGTACCTGGACTCTGAGCAGAGGTTGATGGCCGCCAGAGTCATCAAGAGGTCACACGCTACTTTACCCAGAATTCTACAGCAAAAGAAACGTTGTGAAGCTGTTTCCTGTTTGAATCTTCCTTCACGTTCCTTCATGTCCGACCCGTGTGCAGGTACATCCTCCACGCCAAGAAGACTGCGTTCGTCGTGGAGCACGACTTCATCATGGCGACTTACCTGGCCGACAGAGTCATCGTGTTCGACGGTATTCCCTCCAGGCAGACCGCCGCCAACACGTAAGACGAGAAAAGACATTTTTAAAAACACTCAAACGTTAAACTGTGTATTTCAATGCGTTTCTCTTGGTCAGGCCTCAGGGTCTGTTGGCAGGAATGAACCGTTTCCTGTCGCTGCTGGAAATCACGTTCAGACGAGACCCGAACAACTTCAGACCACGGATCAACAAACTCAACTCCATCAAGGTGTTTGATTCAACTTTGATTCATAGACGATCAGAGATTTATTTTAGTTTCAGCAAATCAACATCAAGCTGCTGTTTCTATGACGATGTGCTTCTCGTGATTTCAAGCTGTTGATCGCTCGGACCGTTTCGTCTTGTTTCTCTCAGGACACTGAACAGAAGAAGAGCGGAAACTATTTCTTCCTTGACGACTGAGACGACTTCCTGTGTGACCAAGCGACTTCCTGTAGGGGCCCCTTCTTCATTCGGGCTGCGTTCAATAAACAACAAATATGTTTAAAACCATGAGAAACAGAAACTTCAGCCTCAATGGGCTCGGCTGCGTTCAGCGGTGTTAAACCGTGATCATGTCCCGTGTCCGTCAGCCTGAACTCACTGAATTTCATCCAGTTACATTGTGGAACAGTAAGCAGCCAATTTGAACTCATTTACAACACATGGTAATAAACGACTTTATTCCACCACAGCCTCTGACCTCGTTTCTTATTTCTGTGTAAGAGCTGAAATGTTTCGTCTTCATGTGCGAAACAAAAGTGAAACATCGAAGTTATATAAAAAACACATATGTGTAGATATATATCTCCACCTGTCTCTGCCTCTCTTTGTCTTTCCGTCTGTCTCACTCGTCGGTCGTTCAGGATGGAGGTGGCAGCTCTCTCTCTCTCGCTCTCTTTATTTCTCTGTAAGTAACTCAATGATTTTTAATTTGAAAATTTAATAATAAGTTTGCGTTTAAATATATATATATATATATATATATATATGTACACAGAGATTTCCTACAATCGTGTACTTTCAGTTCGTGTGAGCCTCAGCTCCAGGAACTGATGGTTTCACTTGGTGCAGTTTAAAGACTCCGAACAATGAAAAACTAGATTTTAAACAAAGAAAATACTGGATAAATGTAAAACATGATACTTGTGAGTATACATGTATGCATACATGTTAAGTTGCCCACGTATTTTTTTACGTACTGAATATTTTCGAATCAAATACATTTAAATCATAAATGTAAATAATAATAAATAAAACTTGAAATAATAAAGTGTGATGATGTCAGAACAAATACAAAAGTGTGTTTTTGTATTTTCTCTCAGATTTCCCTGTGAGTTCTTTGGATTCCTCTGATGCACGAGGTAAAACTTCCCTTGAGTTAGTTTGTCAGAGTGTTAACGTGGTTTTACTGAACGTCTGCGTCTCTCCTCAGTGTCGGTGTCTCCGGACAAATCCCAGTTTTTTAAATACGACAGTTTCTCTGTGAGCTGTGAGCACGACGAAGACGAGTGGACGGTGATGAAGAGGACGCACGATGGAGAAGTTTGTCTCAGACATTGTTGTTAAAATAATATTATATATAATAATACATCTGTGTGGTTTACATCAAGCTGCAGTTCCTCTTCTGTCCTGCAGGTGTGCCCCTGTCCCTCCCCCTGCTTCATCACTGCAGCTTTTCCCGCCACAGACAGCGGCGTGTACTGGTGCCAACGTGACGTCAGGAGCAGCCGCGTCAACGTCACCATCACCGTCACCGGTATGACGTCATCAGTCACGACAACAATGATCGTTCATTTCTTAGATAAAAACTTAAAATGGACAAGTCGAAAAGTTTGGTTGTTTATGCATCACATCGAAAATGAATTGTAATATTCTTTAATATTTATTTTATAAAAACTACTTTGACTATTTTCTGAGGTTTGATAAAAAGACGATTCTAAATAATCCTGAATTATTAAGATGAGACAGTTTGAACAGGAAGTCGTTTCATCATGTTTCATTTCCGTGTTTGGTTTTGAAACTTTAAGATTTAAAAGGAATGAAACTCGACCGTTAACATTAAATCATAGAACACTCGATAGATGTATGATGAAGTAAAAGTAGTGTCATGTGATGAACACGTGTGTCTCAGCTGGACCTGTGATTCTGGAGAGTCCAGTACTTCCTGTGACGGAGGGAGAGGACGTGACGTTGTCCTGCAGAAGCTCAGCTGTGACGTCTGAAGCTCGTTTCTATAAAGACGACGTCCACGTCACCAGCAGCTGCACAAGAAACTTCAGCATCCGCCACGTGTCCGCGTCTCATCAAGGTCAATACAAGTGCAGCGTGTCTGGATCAGAGTCGGCCTCCAGCTGGCTCACTGTCACAGGTACTACACAATATAATATAGTACTACACAATACTACACAATATAATATAATACTACACAGTACTACACAGTACTACACAATATAATATATATCAGAGTCGGCCTCCAGCTGGCTCACTGTCACAGGTACTACACAGTACTACACAGTACTACACAGTATCACACAATACTACACAGTACTACACAATAGAATATAATACTACACAGTACTACACAATATAATATATATCAGAGTCGGCCTCCAGCTGGCTCACTGTCACAGGTACTACACAGTACTACACAGTATCACACAATACTACACAGTATCACACAATACTACACAGTACTTCACAATAGAATATAATACTACACAGTACTACACAATACTACACAATATAATATAATACTACACAGTACTACACAATACTACACAATATAATATTATATCCATCAGAGTGCAGTAGCCATTGTAGAAAGGAGCCGAGGTGTAAAGGATCCCGCCCACAAGCTCGACCAATCCTGAGTCAGCGTCAGCTGTCAATCAAGATGTTTTTCTGTAACTGATCAGAAAGTTGAAGAAAACTTGAACGAGCTGAAACGACAGAAACGTTTATTTAACGTTTGAGCTTTTAATTTGTTCCATGTCCCATCTGCTAACATGGAGGAGGTTTCTAAGGTTATAAGCTATGCTGCAGCCGGCCACCAGGGGGAGAAACATGATTTGGCCTCACTTATTGGAGCCATCATGTCGTCCATCTTTATTTAAGTGTGTTTCTGTTTGCAGCGCCACCTGCAGGCCGGCATCCTCCAGCCCCCCCGCTGTCTGTGCCCCCCCTCCTGATGGTGGGAACCCTTTATCTGCTGTGCACCGTTTTACTGGGACTGGTTTACAGGGACAGGAAGAGAGGAGAGCGACGCCTCAAACCATCAGACGTTACAGTGCAGCGAGCCAATGAGAGAGGAGCACCAGCTGATGATGTCATCGTATGACACTGACGTTACCACAGAAACACCTTCAACATGCGTGTTCCTCTCTGATGGCATTTTATTCTCTTAATGTTTCTCATGTTATAAACAAATATTTTCATTTGACCATTAGCTTAATTAGACTGGAATTTCAAAATAAAATCCTGTGATGAAGCCGAGTGTGATTGTTTCCTGCTGTTATG